TTTTAAAATATTTTTCACTTAAACTTTTATACATATGATTGAGATACACTTTTCTTATATATTATTGAATATTCATAAGCCGAAGATAATAATAAGTTTAACAATTCAAAGGTGTTCTTTCCGAGTTTAATATAAAAAAACTTGAATTTTTTTTTTTTATCTCACGTATGTCAGCTAAAAGTCGCAAGAAAACTGTCGGTTTCTCTCTCAATCTAAACCGAATCCTAACTACCTAGTATGCTTACTAATAATTAACTACTCGAGCTCAGCATGAAATCGAACATTGGCAGCGCGAGGACGGCCCCACTGTCAGTTAAGGGTATAGAAATTGATTTATCTAACTGTCCAACATCACCATATCTATTAAAATATCGGAAGTGTAACTCCATCAATCGTATAATTTCGCAACTTTTATCTTTTCTGGATCGCGAGACTCATCGCAATCATCTTTCGAAAGTAATAAGTTCTCGATCGATCAATCCGTTATCTAATGAAGTCCCAATTCACATCATGCAAAAAAACAAAATCTTATTGCAATAATACGTACGTAATCTATTTGTTGATTTAATCGAGCGACATGGTTAATTGATTTCTTTGGCTATAAATATGGGATCCATTTAAGAGCTGATGTATACTTGCCATTCTAGTTCTCAAATTCTCTCTGTTTTTCTTTTATCTCAAAGCACTCTATCCAATCCAACACAATGGCGCCCATCTTTGAGCATAGAAATATTGAGCAGAATGACCTTGAAAGACCACTGAAGTTTCCATGTGATGCCAAGTTACCTAATTGCTGGAATTTATCATGCGACGGGAGCTCGACGACGTTGGATGTTATATATGATGAGAAGAATACTCGCAAGCAGCTTACCGTCAAAAAACTGCCCCGCGGGATATATTTCACTAAGGGTTGGAATGATTTCCGAATAGCGAAAAAGATTGAAAAAAATGACAAGATCAGCCTCCACGAAGACGGAAACACGTACAGGATTGAAGTGGAGAAAGCTCGAAAGGGTCGTTAGTTGGATTTTATATATCCTTAATTCACTTATCTCAAACAAAACGATCTCTTACAAGTGATTGTCAGTTAAGCCCATGATTTAGTTTGTGATATTTTGTTATCCTTTAGTTTGTGTTCTGTTTTTGTCTGTTTTCTAGATTCTAGGATGATGTTTTTCTACTGCTATATTATCATGTGAATTATTACCGTGTTTGTATGGTTGCATCATATGTAAAAGGGTTTTTGCAATAAAATTAAAGTTTCACAATTGAGAAAATAATTTGAAATTCTTTTTTTTTTTTCCTTTTCTGTCAACATTAAAAATTCTTCTTTATTAAATATATTTAATACTAAGTCTAGAAAGAATATACATTGATATGGGTGTTTTCTCTACCGGTGCACACTGTAAGCCATCCAGAAATGGCACATAAAAGACTTACTAACATTAACAACCATGTAAAATAACTTATAATTAATTATCAAAAAAATGTAAAAATAACTTATTATCAATTAATTATATTAATTCGTTGACAGAAAAAGAAAAAAAAAAGTGCATTAATTCATGTTGGCAAGGGAAAAAGAAGATTTACTAGTATTTAATTTTTCTTTTTGCTTTTTCCCAGAATTAACTGCTTTTTTGTAAGGATATGTTCGAAATTTTTAACTTCGGACATATTGCTACAATTCTTTAATAATAAAAATGAAGTTAAATCGAGCACTTCTTAGTCAAATAGCTACATAACAGGTATAGTGAACATATCCACACCTGATTCCCCACACTTGATTTCCTGGTCTTGAAATCATTGCCTGAAGGGACACGTCAGACTCCGATTATCTGGTTAAGCAAGCCACGTGGACACCTCTCTAAGGCCTATAAATACCCTTCAGGGACCACATCAGAAAGGTAATTAAAATCGACTTGAAGCTCTTTTTTTTTATTATTCTAAAGGTAGATCTAATTATTGTTGACTTAAGTATTAGAGTGTCTATATCAAGGATCCATCTTGAAGTTTTGCAGGTTCATCCGGAGTGAAGACACAGACTGAAGAAGAACTTCTGGTTTGGTGCAATTACAAGCCCGCATGATTAGTTTTAGGAAACCTTTTCTAATATAAGAGAAATGCTCGGTGTGAACTTATTTTTCAGTCGTCAAAAAAAAGAACTTATCAAATTGAAGTATAAGCTTTACTTTTATTTAAATGCTCAGCGTGAATTTACTACTGTTGAATATTGATAGATTGCCCAAATATAATAAGTTGAACAAGTTAAAAGTTTTTTTGTCTCTTGATTTGAATTATATAATAAAACATAATTTATTTTTTATTTTTTAATTATTTTTATTTATATACTGTAAGATTGGAATTTAAAAATTTTTATTTTTATTAAAAAATTATTATTTAAATACTTGAGTACTTACACAATTCAAAAGTCTTCTATTATTTCAGTTTAATATAAAAATTTTTAATTAATTTTTTCTCCCGTTCAAATATAGTTTTCTGTCAGTTTCATTGTTGAACATTCGGGACCTCAAGAAAACGACAAACATGGGTATTTAGCGAGAAATAATATAATAGTTAATAAAGTTGAATAGATATAATCCAAATTAAATTACATCGACAAATTTATCATGGTTGCCTAATTACTTTGTAGTTGCAGCTGAAGTAAATTAGCATATTTAATTATTTATTTTTCTAGTTATAATATTAAGAAAGCTACATCAAGAAAACAATTTACTTGACATGGCTACCGGTTGATGCATCATGTGCTTGCCCTGTTTTTAATATCTATGAAAATTTAACTTGTAGGAATGAATATAAAATATGATTATTTAACTTAAAATTAATTAGTAATATGCGCTACAACATTTTGTCAATAGCTGTGGTAGAATTAGAAATCAATTAAGTATAGGGTCTTTTATTTTGCCATAGTTGAGTTTAAATCTCTTTTTTATCCTTAAAAAAAAAAAAAACTAAGAATGTGGCTTGCGTCTTTAGCATTATCTTCTTAAAAATCTTAAGTTGAGCTTCTTTATGTTTTGATTTTATGGAAACCACATGGTGGGGCCAATTCTTATGTGTGTTGTTTTGAATTGCTTGTCAGCTAAACTTAATTATATTGCAGGGTATGATACATCACTAAAAAAAAAGGCATTTTATGACAGTAGAATTGGTTACAAAAATTTAAATTTTAAATACAAATTTAATTTGTGATAAAAAAAGGAGAGATTTTGTAACCAATTTTTTGTCACAAAAAGTCTATTTTCTTGTAATGCATGTACATATAGGCTTAATATAATCTTTAGAACTTGTCAAACAAGTTAATAATATTGGGTTTGATAAGAATAGGGCCAACCCTACTTCTGTTCTAAAGCCCAAAATATGACTTTTTTTTCCCTTTCTTTTGATGTCAACCTTTTATTTTCTTAAGTATTCTCATTCATCTCTTACGTCTATTGTTAACTGAAAATCGTAAGAGAAACTATTGGCTTCTCTCTCAATCTAATCAAAATCCCAACTACCTTTTTTTTTCGAACGACAGAATCCCAACTACCTAATATGCTACAAATTTTTAACTACTCGAGTTCATCATGAAATTGAACATTTTCAGCGCGAAGACCGTGCCACTTCCAATTAAGAGTATAGATATTTTTATTTCAGAACGTAAAAACAAACCACCTACATAGATATATTAGTCGAAGATAAGTCAATTGCAGTTCAAGTTCTTTTCAAATTGACAAGTATGTGCTTTTTGTTTTTT